ACCACCAAGCACAAACAGTTTTACTGCACGATAAATATTTGCTCACATTATCAGTACTCAGAATTCACTGAGCTGCTTGTTTACTGGCTGTTTGTTTACCTGCTCCTAGCTTCACCAGCACACTGAAGGAACTGGTGGCAATAGTCACAAATTGCAACAAGGGAAACTCTGTGTAGGTACAAAGAGAAACGTTTGTCACAGTGACAAGTTGGGCACAGAAGAGGCTCCCAAAGAAACCTCATTTCCCATTCTTGAAGAACTTTGAAATAGGGCAAACCCACGTGCAGCCCAACCCAAGCTCCAAGCTCAACCGGCTCCAAACAGAGGGCTCAGCTGGATGACATCCAGAGGTCACCTACAATTTCATTTGTTCTTCACAGTCTCCAGCTCTCCTGCCTTTCACAAGGGCTCAGGTCCTGCAGCAATGTGCAGCCACCCAAGATGACTTCCCTCCCAGCCAGAATTCTGAGCTGGAAGCAGAGCCCAGGGCAGCAGCCAGCCGAGCAGCTTTCACTGCCTTAACAGCAGTTGCTAAGTAGCACGACTTTCAAAACTTCTCCTAGAGGATCACTACACATTCCCAAATCAAAGAAAACAAGGCTCAGTTAGGAAAGGTGCTGGAAATCCCTTACACGCATAAACTGCCAAATAGGCAGGCTTAATTTCTTCCTGTCAGAGACATACAGTAAACCGATATGAAATTGCTCTGTTACTGCCATCAGTCTGGCTCTCCTCCGCAGCTGCGTCGCTCTGGAACACACCAACATGGCACATGAGCATCTCAGAGAGGAGGGAGCCTGCTGCCCACATACAGAGCAAACGATTCCAGTGGGAGTGAGGCTGACAGCTTCAACACAAGAGTTCCCCAACTTTCTGCAAGATGTATGTTTGCTTAGCTTCGAAACTGCGAGACATGACAGAGTGGGAAAAAAATGATTGGGGAAAATAAAGCAAGGAACAAACAAGCATGAAGATACCAGTAAAGCAGAGCAGCGATACTGCCGAGTGTGGTATGGAACTCCCCTAACAGTAGGGACAAGCAACAAATGCCATTTCAAATGATGAACCTCCAAGATGGGTTTTTCTGATGAGTTTTATAGAGTTGTCAGGGTTGTATCAGAGAGGATATGCACACAGCACCCATGCAAGCAGAAGGAAAAGCAAAACTAAGACCAAGTACACGATGAAAAAGCCTCAGAGCAGCCAAATCAAGACAGATGGTGGCTGAAGACCAAAGCGTTCGGCAAACAATACTATTACACAGCAGTTCTCACCATCCATCCTAAGCTCCCTGGTGCCCACCAGAATCCAGAAAGCAAGAAACTGCTGACAGGAAACAGAAACTGAGCACTGAGTTCAGTGTGGAATTATTCTGGAACGGCTCTAACTTAATCCCTAAATAACATTTTTTTAAATTAAGGTAGCAAGCAATCTACTTTAACTAAGAGAGTCAAAGTGAGCAGTGTTTGAGGGCAGAGAAGAGCAGCACAAGCAGTGGCAGCTGCCCCCTGCAGCAAGGCTCCCTCTCCAAACAGGGCTGCAGCCTGAGACTCATGACTGGAATCCTTACCCAAAATGAAAAGAACTTTCCCAAAGTTCTTAGGCACCAAGTGCCACTTTCAAAAGGCCTTCCGCTGATCTCCTGAAATTTCTGCCTGTTCTGCTGGCTTGCAGTGCACATAAAGCACTGTGTGTCCCTACTTCTATTTGAAAAGAATCAAAAGCAGCAGATCCTACACCTCTAAGAACTTAAGTTCGTCTTCCAACTCCTGCACAACAGAAGCTGTTTGCCTGTAAGAGATGAGAATGAATTCCAGAGGCAACATCAGCAGCGTGCTTGAAGTTTCAATCCTGCAGAGCAGGGAAGTCCACACACAAGTGTGTAACCCGGGGATGGAAGCACGTTTCCAGTAGGTTTCTGGCATAGCAGGACTGAACGGAGACAGCCCTCTCAAAGCACGTTTGTTTTAGCTTTCCAAGCCAAGACAAAGAGCTCTGGCAACGCAGCAGAGCGCTTATCTTATTAGACACAACAAGCAGAAGGCTATCCTCCTATTCACGCCTCAGCACAATATCTGCAGAGATGTTTTTAGAATTAAGAACGCTCAGAACGAAAATCCCAGCGATCAACAGCTGGAAAGCAGTAACAGCGGGAGCTCCTTCCTGCTGAATGGGCACCCGCGCAGGCAAAAAGCCCCTTCTTCTCAAGGGGAGCAGCAACTCTGCCTGATGTTCCTGGAAGAAAGCGCCCAGAAACACGCCGAGCGAGTGACAGCGAAGACACCGCGCCGACACGGGCTTTGTCGGCGATCTCCGCGCCCGACAGAGTCCTCCTACAAACTCGGTCTCGTTTCAACGCGTTCTCGCACGCCCCGCGCACAGCGCAGAGGCTCCGCTCGGCACGGCTCAGAGATCGCCAAGCGGCGCCGCCTCTCAGCCTCGCCGCCCGCAGCCCCGGCCCCACGGAGAGGCTCCGCCCGGCGCAGCGCCCCGGCAGCGGCGCGGGCCTGGTCCCAGCCCGGCGCCGCGCTCCCGCCCCCCCGTTACGTAACGGCCGGCAGGGCCGGGAACCGGCGGCGCGGCGCCTGCCACGTATCGCCCCCACCCCCCGCGGAGCCCGTCCCGTCCCGGTAAGAGAGGCGGCGCGGCCGGGCCTCACCTGAGACAGCGGGCGGGCCGCGCGCGCCACAGACGGAGCCCCACGAGCCGCCCGCCGCCGTCACGCTCCGCGCGCGCGGTGCCGCCCGCCGCGGCTTTAATAGGCGCGCAGGCCACGCCTTCCCGGGCCGCGCGCGGCGGGGGCGGGGCGCGGGCGGCGGCCGGCGCGCTACGTGAGCTCGGTCACAGCGGCGGCCGCCCTGGTGCGCAGGCGCCGCCGCCGCCGCTGCTCCACGTGGGCGCGGGGCGCAGCCCGGGGGTCCGCGTCGCGTGGCCACCTCGATCTCCTCCGGGAAGAGCGCGGTCGCCGACGGTCCCCGTGTGGCTGCGGCGTGCGCTGCCGGTGCCGTGCCGCAGCGGAAAGAGAGCCGGGTTCCAGCTGAACCATCCGTCAGAAATAAGCCTCCCTTCCTCTCGCCTTGGTCGACTTCCAACAGAAATAGAGCTCCTACAGCCGGCAGGAAGTGGGGAGCGGTCCGCCGGCCTCCGGGTTGAAAGTCCTCAGGCCGGGACACGTGGGCAGAGGTAGAGCAGCAGCTTTGGAGATGTGGCAAACTTCCTCCTTAAACCAGAGTGCCGCTTTAGCTTCCTAACCTTTAACTTTTTAATTTTTAACGGGACTTCCTCAGGCTGACGTGACCCACCTGTTTATTAACTAGGAGCATAAGTACCGAAGATGAGGCTGCTGACAAAATGAAGCCGTGATAAAATGAAGCCAAGCCTTTATCGAATCCTTGCAGTTGGAACAGTCCCTTAAAGGCCATCTGGTCCAGCTCCCCTGCAATGAACAGGGTCAGCCACTGCTCCATGAGGACCTCGGAGCCCCCTCGAGCCTGACCTTGAGTAGCTGCAGGGCCGGGGCACCACCTGCCTCTCTGGGCAGCCTCATCAGTTATGGGTTAGTTTGTATATACAGCATAATGACAGACGGGAAGACTACTCATTAACTTTCTGTTTAAAGAAGTGGTTTGTCTTACCCCAGCCTTTGCCCAGGAAAGAAACATTTTTTAGCAAGAGGTTCCTTGTGGTGCAACCACGCATTTTCAGCATGAGCTCGCTAGCTTGATGCATTGGAAGCAGTTAGCAGCTGATGGCAGTCCCAGCTCATGTCCCCTTGCTGGGAACAGCTGGCAAGACAGAAGAGCAAGAACTAGTAAGGTTACTACCACAACTGTTTTCAGCTCAGCAGATCTACTGGCTTGTTTTAACTGCAGGGCGAGTTTACACTGGAGATTACACTTCAGTGCTCTATCTTATTAAGGGAAGATGTTTTGTCCATTAATCCAATTAGCATTGTAGGTTAATAAGACTGTGTTTCCTGAAGCAGAGCAGTCTCACAAATAACAATTACACCTAAACGCTTAAGGAATGAGAAAAGAAATACCAGAGTGGTATTTCCCTACGTATTCTACTTATTCTTTTCCTGCCTACTCTACTTACTATGTTTTACAAGCAGTGCTCTCTAGTTACATGACAACTTCTCAATTAGGAAATCACACCAAACAGCTAAAGGTGCTGAAAACATTTACATGTTGATAAAATTCCCTTTCTCTTCAATATAGGCAGATAGGTTCCAGCCCAGGGTAACATTTTCAGTACCAAAGAAATGTATTCAGCTATGAAGGCATAAAACAAAACATGTTGTTACTCTGTCATCTGTCCTGGCAAAGGGCACTTCCCAATCAGAGCCACTGCAAACTCAGCTGCAGGTCTGGGTGTTAGAACACTCAGCAGCTCCATTCTTCAGCTGCGTTCAGTTGTTGGCATACTTTCCTCTTTGGGAACACACAGTCCTTAACTTCAAACACTGCCCTTATGCTACTGACACAGAAAACAGAGAAACTTGCAAAGATAAAAAGAAACTAAACAAAGGGGAACTAATACTTTCAGAATAGCTCAACTTATTGCAGTAGCATTGTTCCCATAATAGCTCCTGCTTGGCAAATTACAGTATATGGAATTCTGGCAGAAGGAGGCACACAGGGAGAGCAGCTCCACAGCTGCAGGAGCTGACGGAAAGCCGGAGCAGATCCTGTCAGCCACCCAACTGAGCCAAGGGTTTCCGAACTACATTTCCCAGAGCTCCTGCTGGGGGAAGAGTGACTCAATGTGGTCAGACAGCTCCTGTTCGCTCTGCTTGCTGGAGGAGTCCTGCTTCCAGCTGAGGACAACGGTGGCCTTCCAGAGCTGTTTCCTGCTGCTGCAGACAGCACGCCTTCTGCTCCGAGCGCAGTAAGTGGGCAATGCGTTTGCAGAGTGGCTGATCTCAGTCCACCTCCCACAGGGTGGGCAGAGATGTCAGGAGCCACCATGACAACTCCACAGCACTGAGCAGAGGCTGCCTGCCTGCAAGGAGAGGGGCCTCTGCTCAGGCACCACCCAGCTCAGGAGCCGTCACCAGCCTTCCTCAGAGGAAGGACTCACCACCTCTTCCTTGGTGCAGCTTACACATCCCAGCCTGTAGGATTAAGAAAATGCAACTTCATCCTTAGAGAGCTTTGAGATTTGTGGTTGGAAAGTGAAATACTCAAGGTAATTGCTGAGGATTGTGAATCACAGCTCATTTTTGTTTCAGATGAATGCCTGAGATAGCTGTTTTCTGAAGCTGAGTTCAGGCGGCAGTCTGTGACTGCCTGAGCTGACAGTGTGGTAGGATCCTTTGGCACAAAAGCCGTTCTCAGCTGGAGATGATCCAGTTCAGCTGCAACTGCTGCCTCTCGTCAAGCTCTGGGAATTCTCTTCCGCCACCGATATTTTGTCTTTCATTCCCTTCTGGCATCAATGCCTTTCCCACAGATCTGCTGCTTGCTGCAATAGGATGTTCAGTTGGATGGAGGCCATTACAACTGCGTAGGAACAAACAAGAAAGCAGCCACTCTCACTGTTCTTTATCCCACTGGTACAGGAGTTCAGAGAGAAGTATTTAATCTCATCTTGTAACACTTTAAGACCTTCTGTGCACACTTATTTTAGAAAGCAAACACCAACATTCTGTAGGTTCTGTAAGCATGTAGCATTGGGTTATTGCACCTTTTAAATCAAACTTATGTTTTCAAGGCCACTGTGTTATGTTCTGTGCTTCTCTTTTCAGATAGAAACAGCTTCCCATAGGTGCTGATTATGGCTGCAATTTATCGAGCAGCGTATAGAAGAGCTGCTCTCTTCTGCAGGTCACACTCCACCTATATTAGAAAAATGAGGTAAGTTCTCATCTAACTCATTTGCACTGAGACCAGGATTTGGCACTCTTGTATTCAGTGTCACAAACAGCCCTACCCAAATCTAATGCCAGCTTTCATCTTGTATCAGTTCAGCAGTGATGCAAGAATCTTGCATGTGCTTTGTAAATGGGAGTGGTTAAAATCTCTACACTCCCTTCACTATGGAAAAGAGCTAGTTGCCTTAGGCTGAAACTCTCTAAATGAATGCCTGCTTTCACTAAAGATCTCAAAAAAAAAAAAATTCAGGCAGTCTTGAAGTGACAGTGCTCACCTCCTTTAAATACTACTTCAGACAGCCTGGAAGAAGCACACAAACAACCACATCTTTTAAAGAACCCTCTTGGATTGGGAGACTTGGGTTACATATCTTGGATCTGCTCTGCCTGAAATAAATGTGTCCAAATAAGCATAGCACATGTAATATTGACATGATCTCAAATTCATCATTCCGACTCTTTTCTTACTGCAGATACTTGAGTAAGCTAAAGGAAGATGACATCTTGTGTAGACAAGCCCAGACCTCAGGAACTTTCTACATCTTTCACAATTTCTCACCCTTCCTGCAGAAAGTCGGGAAGAAATATTTGATACCACAGCTCAGTGCAGCAGGTAAGCAGGTGTCCAGACAAGGCGTCACCCAGGTCATGCAGCTCAAATGATACAGGATCATTTGCAACAAGCAACACCTTACATGGGTTAAAAAAAAAAATAAAAAAAAAAAACCAAGACACACATAGAACATCCTGTTATGTATGGCATGCTGTTTGTTACCAAAAAAGTCTATTTGGAGTTAAAACCTTGGCACATTGACGTGAGCCCATGCTCCTCACATGCATATGGTATCAAAATATACCTGAGCTACTTTGAGATTATAAATTTTGAATATTTGGGACCATAACTTTTGAAGAGCTGGTAGGATAACAGACAACAAGTTTTGCCACCAAAGCAGGGAGAAGTTCTGTGAGAAAGGTATCAGCTGGCATAAGAGAGAATTGGAATGGACAGCTGTTACTCAAGCATAAAAACATTTGCATCTTTAGCTTGACATGGTCTAAAGATACAACATCTAGGAAGGAAAGCTATATGTCTGGTCTCCACCACTGCTCTTACATGAGCACCCCACCTCGAACCCAGATTGCACAAACGTTGGCTAAGCAGAAAGAGCTTCACAGTCATACAAATTAAATTTTCCTTACGGCTTTTCCTTCCCCTTTCTCCTGCTCTTTAGAAATGAAAAGGATCCTGGAGAAATTCAGAGAGACTGAACAGTGGATAGAGAAGTCGGTGCTGATTGGTTGTTCAGATGAGCACGTACCACACTTTGCCCTGGATTTAGGTTGGATGACTCCTCTTCCATCTGTGTCGGCATCACATTCGATGCACTGAGATGAAGACGCTGCTGAGGCAGCGTCCCTTCTCCACGCTAGTGATTATTTACTGTCAAGAGGAATCAGTCGATCCTCTGTAGGAGCTGCTGTGAGCGCAGTGATTGAGCCACCAAACTGTAGCTCAGTTGCACTGTGGTTCCTCTGGGTGTGTTTGTAAAGGTGGGCTGTTTGCAGGTCACTTAACATTTGGAAATGCGTACCTCTGAAGTGATGTCACTTCACGGGAACTTCCAGAGGTCGTATACTGGAACAGTGAAGGGTAGAAAGTTGGGATAAGAACTGCAGTTCATGAAATCACAGATTTTTTATTTTTTATTTTTTTTTTTTTTTTAAGCAGGAGCCTTGGAAAGATCAGTCGTTGAGGCTGAGCTCAAGGGATCGTTCACTGACTTACGAAAGGCTTTCTTTGTAGTGGATGAGAAGGATTCTTCTTTGCTGGCCTCGGTACAGTGCAGGATTTGTAACCTTAATAAGTTATTATTCCTAACATTTGTCTCCCACATTGTTTTATGACTTCATATGTATTGTGGAAGTATCTACTGTCAGTTTTTAGCCAACTAGGTACAAGGATGCTATAAATTACTGCTCTTCTCCCAGATTTGCTGTCACAAAAGCAAGCTGCAGTGGGAAGAGAAGCAGACAAGAGGCTTAACAATGATTGCAGTCATTTGCCACTTAGCATCAACCTGCTGCATGAAATATGCTGATCTCAGTGGCAGTTTCAGCAATCCCAGTTTGTCCTTGGCAATTAACACACATGGCTTTTCTATTATCCTCTTGGCAAACTGAATTCCAAGAATGGCCTTACAGATCTTCTGTCAGAGCTGCTCTGTTACATCTGCACACTTATGAATTGTTACTCTCCAGATGCCCTGTTTGGAAGCTCTAAGGAAAGACTTGTGTGAAAATTAGGCATCCAATAAGAGAAGCAGAAATAATTGTTTCTTTTCCTGCTCTGTAATGTTTATGATGCTTGGGTTATTTTTCCCTAATGGTATTTGGGGCTGGCGTCTCCCTGGCATAGTTCAGTTCTCATTAGTACTCCCATTATATCCCAATAAGGAACAACTCTTCCTCCACCTCCCCTTAAAAAGATGAAATTTGGATGCTAGAGCAATGAACACAGAACACCAATTGCAGAAGACTCCCTTTATCAAAACAGTGCCCATATTTTATTTGCATTATAGAGGCTTCCAAACATAATCAGAGTTTCTCCCCAGCATGCTGTTACAGGCATGAAACAGCAAAGCATCACTTGGGGAGACTGCTCTGAATCATCTGGCTCTGGCTGTCCATAGACCTGTATTTCCTTCTTCACAGGCCCAGGCCCTTCTCCGCTGGCACGATTCCCACCAGTACTGTAGCAAAACCGGGCAGCCGACTCAGAAAAACGTAGCTGGCAGCAAGCGCGTGTGCCATGCCAGTGGAATAACTTACCCACAGGTAAGCACCTGAGCAGCACAGCTAAGTACAGAGTGCCCCCAGCCAGCTAGGAAAAGTCCCCACTTTCACTTACTTGTTTGGTCTGAACTCCTTCCTTTGCTCTTGGGTGCATTTTCTAGATGTCTCCAGTAGTTATCATCTTGGTGTCTGACGGCAGCCGCTGCCTCCTTGCACGACAGGCTTCGTTTCCTCAGGGGATGTACACCGCTCTGTCTGGCTTCTGTGACGTAGGTGAGGTGGCCTCTCGTCCAGCACAGTGCCCTCAGATGTGCAGAGCTGTGGGACATCAACCAAGGGCTTGCTCACAAAAGATGAATGATGCATGGTTGATACCACAAAAACAAGGATTGGGTCAGCATCGTTACTCAGATAGGGTTCAAAATAGTACATATGTGTAGAGAACGGGTGAATTATGAATGTGTATCAGTTGCTGTAGTTCCCGATAGTAAATTTAGGTGTAAGGCTTCCCAGAATAGAGCAGTAACACCCAGATACTTCTTAGTCTGTTTTATATCTCATACCCTCTGGCTCAAAAAAAAAAAAAAAAAAAAAAAAAAAAAAACAAAACTACAGACCTCTTATTACAGGAGGGAAAGTGGGAAACAAAAAAAGGGAAAAAAAGAAGAGTAGCCCCACATTCCATCCCTTGGCTCTGCATACAGAAAAAAAAAAGAGTGTCTCTGATGGCTTTGGTTAAGGGAAGCAAGCACTGGCAGCAAGATGCTCAATTCAGTGAATAAGCATTCCTAGGTCAGCACAGCCAGAGCTCCTGCTCACGCTTGAACAGTCAGGGCTAGAACACCTCAGAAATGAGCGTACCTATGTTTTTCTTGCCATGGTTTGCTGCCCTGATGCCAGCCTGCCCTTACTCATGCATGGTTGCTTCTAGGTGAAGCTGTGGAGGAGGCAGCCCGGCGAGAAGTGGCAGAAGAGGTGGGCCTGGAGGTGGAGTCACTCTGGTATTCAGCATCCCAGCACTGGCCCTTCCCCAGCAGCTGCTTAATGATAGCTTGTCATGCATTGGTGAGGAGACAGCAGTTGGAGGTGAGTGGATTCGCATTCCCCCAAGGCATTTCAATGCTAACCTTACATAGCAGAATCTCTTTCGGTCCACAGAATTTACCTTGGATAGCATCAGCTCCTCTCCAAATGCTTTTTCAGCTAGCTTCCTATAAGTGAAAAAGAGACTGGAAAACAACAATTGCTTCTGTTGTAACATGCAAAATTTTACACAGGTCACTGAATGTACAAGCCCATATCATGCTTCCGCATTTTTTCCCTCTTAACTTTGCAGAGCAGTTACCTTCTAATATTCAGAACATTATCTGCTGTAGAACGTGCAGCTTCTGCTATGTTAATTACTGTGATCAGACACTAGTACTTTGCAGGCCAATGCCACAATGGAATAGGGCTGACTGACTTGTGGCTTCCCTAAGGAAACATCAGTGGGCAGTCATGTCCTCTCCTGTGCTGGCATCAACAATTAATTCCAGCATGGATTAATCACTCCAGGGATTCCAGCATGGGATCTTTGCAGGAGCAAGAACGAGGCACTGCTGCCCACATTTGAAGCTGATTTAAGGAAACTGGTACTCCCCTAATTCTTTCCAGATCAGTGTGAACAGCCTGGAGCTGGAGGAAGCCCGCTGGTTTGGCCTGGAAGAAATCATGGAGGGTCTCAAGCGAGAACCCAGATCTGCAAAGCAAGACAATGGAAGTTTTTTACCTTGGTTCCCTCCCAAGCAGGCCATTGCTCACAAACTGATCAACGAGTGGGTTAAGCAGCAGACTTCCCAGCCAACTCAGGTGCTATGAATTCATTAAGCCTGTACCTCTACCAGGATTACTAATGCTTGACATGAAAGCTTCCACAGCTGAAATCTGTCATACAGCAGATGTAATCTGATGGCAATCCTACATTTGGATACAGAGACCTACACATTTCTGATCATCCTCAGACAACTTCTTGCACAGTGGATCACCTTTGAGATCCATCAACTTGTAGTAAATGCACAATAAAATTCTTTGTCCCAAGGCACAAAACGTTGTCATCTGCCGCTGGTGTTGCCCAGTAAGCAACAGAACAATGAGCCCAGTGCAGCTATGACCCTCTTTTCTCCATTTTACCCATCTACAGGTAGTGATGGATATCTGAACCCAGCATTTTTTCAGAAAAAAACATTAAGGGAGAGAGGCCTTTTAGTTTTCACCTGTATCTCAATCTGGACTGACTATCAAAGAAACCAAAGAAAGGCAGTGCCTGTACCCTCTCCCCTTCTTCCATTTCCCTTACCTTTGAATCTTCCAGTTTCATATGAAACTTTTTTTTTCCCCAAATGATAAGTGTATTCCTCCTTTGATGATATATGAGAGTAACTGAAACTACTTCTGGAGACAACATTTTCCCTGCCAGCTATACAGAGCATGACACTTCCATCCTAAGGAAGAGAGGATAGAGCTACCTGGTGGTAGAGAGTGGAAGAGCAAAGCCTATATATGAGCATATTAGAACCCAAGAAACTCAAAGGTGAGATAATATTACTGAAAGGCAGAATGTCTCTCACCCTGTGCCAGAAATCTGTGGCTTGCTTGGAGAACTGGTCTTGCTTTACTGGTGAAATGGTACCACGTTTGCAGGGAGAGTGACAAAGATTTAGGGGAAAAGAAAGCAGAGGAGGCAGACAGAAGGATCTGCTGCTTTTTTAGGCTCAGTCCTTCCTGCTTACTTGGCCAGAATTCAAATGTGAAGCTTGCTAAGCTATCAGTACAGAGACTTGAAGGGGGAACAGGACAAAAAGTTGGTACAGATTGGAGCATTATTGGTGCCTCCCCTCCAGCCCAGCTAGACCTTTAGATAAACTTGTGCACAACTGAACTTAACTGCAACTCTCCTGCTTCCAGTTTCCTTTGAAATATGCCTCTCAGCCTCTCTTTGTGGTGGTTGCTCCTGTTTTTTCTTCCATCATTTTAATACTCCATTTTTCTCTTCCTCTCTCATCTCTGGAACTTGCCATTTGCACTTTCATCCCCACTCCTTTCTTCCTCTTACCTGCAATAAGAACACTGAAGCGTTAGACCCCAGCCAGAAGGATACTTGTGCTTCTCATGCCCCTTCCACATTCTTCTTACCTCCCTACCTCGCTCCATGCACTTCCATAACGTGGTTTGCTTCCAGACTACAAACTCAGTTTGGTGTGCTCAGTGCTTTCTGAATATCCACACAGGATCTGCTCTGTGGTAGAAAGAGAACTAAGAAGAAAAAGCTGCAAAGGTATTATACCTGAAAGAGCAAAGGAATGGCTGTGTGTGTAACTTGTGCAGCAATTTGAACTCTGTGAGTATGCAACTGTTCTTCTGCTTCACAGTATATGTCCATCAAACTAGCTGCAGCATGACCAGAACTTGATACCAGAGAAAACTGACCTCTGTTTGCTGGGAAACAATGGGTTACTACTTAGCAAATTATGCTTTTTACTCTATCAGGCAGGCAGGCAGCAGGCTCCAACTGAAAGAACCATCACCAGCTCCTTTAGAACTGTCCCCTCTGCATTGCTGATACACAGCTGGCTTGGCAGGATGTCCCTGTGGGGTGATGCAAGTTGATGGGCTGCCCAGGCTGAGGCTGACACCCACAGACTTCAGGACAGCAATAAGAGCTGCAGCTCTGTCTGTATTCAGAGTGTAACAGGTTTTTAAAGCGTTTCACATTTTATACTGCTTTTTAAAAATTCTTTAGCCCGTGCTCTTGGCACCCAGTTATTTATATTGTGGCATTCACAGGGAAGCACTGCTGAAATGAAATCAGCAGCCCAGCCTGCAGCTGCCATTTAGAACATATTCACCTAGGCTTACTAACAGATGGCAAGCAGCTGTGAGAGGGTAAAAACCCTACCAGATGTCATTCAACATGATGCTAAATAAATATGCATCAGACCAGGACAAGAGCAGTTTTGCAGCTTTATCTAAGAAAAGCTGTTGGTTATTTGTGTCACAGGAACACAGCAAAAGCAAAGAACAAACACACAAATTCGGCCTCACTGGTCTGTCTGAGCTACAAACACCTAGAGAGGTTTTATTAGTGAAGCTACGTATGTCTCCAGTCACAAGAGGTTTGCAGCAGTGATCTGCAGGAAATATAATAGTTAAATACAGATGTTGTCAGTACACAGCCTGCAGAATTCCACAACTAAATCATATCTCACTTCACAACCAAACTAGGAGTGTTAAAGCAAGTGGTACTGCAGAAAAATAAACCATAAGAAAGTGACAGTAAAGACCAACAGCAGAGAGCAGGAATAAAACTGTCATCTCTTAAATTCTCAGCCATCAGTATGAACAGTCAACAGGGTATAATTTCATTTAACATTTAATCCTTTATCAGCATTATAACTGTAACATGGCCTTATAACTGCAGGTACAGTTTGTAACCTTCACCAAATTAAAAACATCAGGGCTATGCTCAGCTAACTTAGATTAGCACAGCTGCCATCCTTGGGTTTCATTCCTACTTTTACCCTAAGGACAACACCTGTCCTGGAAATATTTCAGCCTCACACCTGAACCCCCAACACTGCATGTCACAGGGCAGTTTCCTAGCCTGGAAGCACAGCCAGCATGTATTCCTACACCTGTACATGGTTCCTGTCTTACCTCAACAGAACACCTCATCTATATTTTACTGTAAGATTACATACAAAAGATAAGCTGAAACAACAATAGCTATCTCAGCTATATGCCCTAAAGGCCTGGGGTTTGCTATTGAGTTTATTATCATCAGCACCTGGAATCCATAATAGGAAATCTTACCCATCCTTACAATGCAGTAATCTTGATGGTGGCTGAGAGCACCCTCAATGCACATCAACCAAAGCTTCATGCTCCCAACTCTTTCATATTCTTGAGCAGTTCACTGATTTTTTTTTTTTAAAGAGGCTTTGTATTTGCTTGTTTACACCAAGAATTCCAACTGCCCTCCTCAGTGGTGTTTTTGTAGAGGAATAGAATAAAGTTGGAAGAAGAAATACATTTTCATCTCAGACCTGCCAGAACAGATGCACTTGTGTTCTGTTCCAAGACAGAAATGCCAAGGGGGAGGAGCAGCTGTTGCTGCAGCCTCTGCAGCATCCCACAGGACCCTGAGGTGGTACAAAGGGCCTGCTCTGACTCCTGCTGCTACTGAAAACAACTCCAGTTTCTCAAGTTACTGAAATAGCTGCAGCAGGAGCTGTGCAAATATTCATAAAAATTGCTTGTCTGCTATTTCTACTAATGCTTGTTCTGGAGGTAATTGTTACTCTTATTTTATAAGGAAAGAAAAGGAGAGAAGTCCTGCACAGGGTGGCAGTCCCTCATGGCAAAAGGGGAGGCTGCCATCTGCTTACTTATACAGCAAGGATTCTGAGAACGATTTATTTACAGGCACAGAGACTCCAAGTAGCAGGCAACACCACCAAATCCGCATTTGCACAGAGCTTGCTGCACTTAAACACTGCTCCTCTTGAACAGCATCTCCTCCCCAGTGACCAGAAAGGAGCTGAGCTCACACTGACAACACTGCTGGCCCATGAGCTGCCAACTTCTGAGCTGAACTGCACACCCCCTGCTAACAGAGATTAGTTAGAGGTTCCCTTTCTCAGGTTCCTGTCTACTCCATAGAGCTGACCAGGGGAAAGAGAGGCAGCTGTCAAACTGTCCAGTTGTTCCACAGTCTGAACAAGTTCAAGATCTCTACCTTCTCATGGGATTGATTTCCATCTGGTATACTGAAGAGGAAAGATCAGTTATAGTTATCTTCTTGCTTGCAGCATACCAGTCAACAACAACTCCATTCAGAACCCAGGCTCCAGGGATTATGCCACAAACAAGAAAACTGCATTTCCGGGAAGGGTTAGAAGTCCTGGGATAAGCAAAGCTGTACAAACATTGGATGCTCAAGTGAGCAAAGTGAATAGTTAGTTGGAACGAAGTACTGGTTCATAATATTCGTAATTCCATTTGATTGAGCAAGCCGTTGAAAGGGAAACATGCTGCACTTGTCTTCCCTAATTAATTCCATCAGGATTCCTTTGCTGAAAACTCTTTCAAAATTAAAAGCAGAAATGCCTTGTGTGCTACTTCAGAGCAGTGCAAGAGGCAGCGTGCAAGTGCTGATTCTTAGATGGCAAATTCTCCAGTGAGTAAACCCGTGTTACTGAAGGTCTCCATCGTGAAGCTGCTAAACAAAGGAAGGAGATGGAGTAAGTGCCACCTGACAGGAATAATAGTCCAGTTGATAAAAATCATATTACCCAAGAAACAAGATCAGCCAGAGTGCCTCTGAAAGAGCTGCTTTGTTCTGAACTTAGCTCAGGTTATGTTTTTCTTTTTCAGATAACACTTCTAAAGTGTCCTCTGACATTTTTTGACCTGTACAATACAGGCCACAGGCAATTCATACTCTCAAGTCCAAGCATATTTGTGAAAGTATTTAAGTTTATCTAACAACTCAATAGAAAATATTAGGTAGCTTCCTTGTTAACTATGCTGCCTGTTAAAATGTAGACCCTTTCTAATATTGAAGAATGTCTGTTTTCCAGCACTAACTGCTGGCTACCCTTGCCTGCTAGATGCAAGAACTGTTTCTGTTTCTGGATTTCAGCATCTGTCTAACCCCTGTTGCACCTCACCACTCTGCAATCTAAACTCCACAAACTTCAGTAGCATCATAGTAGCCCCTCATTCTTACGCAGCATCAAGATGCCAAATGCAGAGACAGCACAGCCACTGCACTCCTTGTTCACACTCATTTCATTCACGTATAGTCTCCATGTTTTTTATTTGTACTGAAATATCTTACAAGAAATTCCTCATTTATGAAACAAAGAGGCCCAACTCAACAAACAGTAGAAAAACACAACCAAACCAACAAGAAATAGAAAAAAATTGCAGAAACCACCATAGTACAGCATAGCTGAAAAGTCAGCAAGCATTCATTGTGAATTGTGATGGGCTCTTGAATTTCAGTGGACTGATGGCAGTGTATTACTTTCAAAAGACTTT